AATGGTAGAGAAGAGACAAATCTCCTGTGTAGAAGAATTCCAAATAATTTGTGTGGCTATTCCCCTTCAAGGAGGTGAAGTTAACTCCCCACCGCTGTGTGTGGTCTCACATAGTGACTTCCCTCCTAAGAGAACAATCGAACAGGGGATAAAATCAGTGAGTGTATAGTGGAGAAACCTGAAAATCACTCCCTCAGCCAGGTAACCAAGGTCAGCATCAAATGTGGTAAGTCATGTTGACAGTATGTACCCTTAATGTGATAACAATGGCACTTTACCTCAATGGCCTTCCTCCCAAAACACCATAACCCCAGTCCAATCATGAGAAAAACATCAGACAAACCCTACTGAGGGACTTTCTACAAAATACTTCTAGCACTTCTCAAAACTATCAAAGTCATCCAATCAAGGCAAGTCTAAGAGGAACCTGAGGAGACATGACAAGAGTGTAATGTAGTCAGCAGGGTAGTCTTCTGGGACAGACAAAACTAAGGAAATCTGCATACAGTATGAACTTTAGTTAATAATAACAGATTAGCCCTGGTTGGTTTGGCTCAGTGGTTAGCGCGTCAGCCCATGGACTGAAAGGTCCCTGGTTCGATTCCGGCCAAGGGCACATACCTTGGTTGCAGGCTCCATCCTCAGCCCCGGTCGAGGGGGCCTTGGGAGGCAACCAATCGATGTGTCTCTTTCACATTGATGTTTCTCCCTTCCATTCTCTCTGAAAAAGCAATGGAAAAAAGACCTTTGGGTGAGGATTTAAAAAAATTAATTGTAAAAAAGTCTTTAAAAGTAACAATAATAATAACAGATCGATATTACATCATTAGTGTGACAAGTGTAGTGTACTGCTCTAAAATGTTTAAAATAGGGGAAACTGGTGTGGGGTATACAGGAACTCTGTACTAGCTTTGCAATTTTTCTGTAAAGCAAATGCTATTCTAAAATTTAAAGTTTAGCCTGGCCGCGCATGGCTCAGCAGTTGAGCATCAACCTAGGATCCAGGAGATCAAGGTTCAGTTCCCGGTCAGGGCACATGCCTGGGTTGTGGGCTCCATCCCCAGTAGGGGGGCATGCAGGAGGGAGCCAATCAGTGATGACTCTCTCATCATTGATGTTTCTATCTCTCTCTCTCTCCCTCTCCCTTCTTCTCTCTTAAATCAATAAAGATATATTTTTAAAAAAATAAAAATTAAAAATAATGAAATTTAAAGTTTATTTTTAAAAAAGAGATGTCCATATTACCAAAGTGATCTACAGATTCAACACAGTCCCTATCAAAATTTTAATAGCATTTTTTGCATAAATAAAAAGTTCACCCTAAAATTCATACAAAATCTCAAGGGACCTTAAATAGCAAAAGTAAATTTGAAAAAGAACAAAGCCCTGGCTGGCGTGGCTCAGCTGATTGAGCGTCATTCCATAAACCAAAAGTTCGCTGGTTCAGTCCCGGTCAGGGCACATGCCCAGGCTATGGGCTCAATCCCTGGTCAGGGTGTGTGTGCAGGAGGCAGACTACTGATGTTTCTCTCTCACACTGATGTCTCTCTCTCTCTCTCTCTCTCTCGCTCTTGATCGCACCATCCCTCTCCCTTTCTCTCTCCCTGAAATCAATTAAAAGAGAGAGAGAAAAAAAGAATAACAAAGTTCGAGGACTCACACCACTTCATTTCAAAACACATTATAAATCTATAGTAATCAAAATAGTATGATACTGCCATAAAGTCAGACATATAGACCAATGGAAAAAACAGAGAACCCAATGGAAATAAACCCTTGCATATATGATCAAATGGTCCTCAACAAGCATGCCAAGACCACTCAGTGGGGAACGGAGAGTCTCTTCAACAAATGATGCTGGGGGCTGAACGTTCCCGCCGCACCTCCAGCCAAGACCTCACCAAAATGCCATCTCAAATGGAACACGCCATGGGAACCATGACGTTCACGTTTCATAAGTTTGCTGGGGATAAAGGCTACTTAACAAAGGAGGACCTGAGAGTGCTATGGAAAAGGAGTTCCCCAGATTTTTGGAAAATCAAAAAGACCCTCCGGCCATAGACAAAATAACGAAGAACCTGGACCAATGCCGAGACGGCCAAGTGGGCTTCCAGAGCTTCTTTTCGCTAATTGCGGGGCTCACCATTGCATGCAATGACTATTTTGTAGTACACGTGAAGCAAGTAGGCAGCACCGAGCACTTAATTCCTCCCTGATAAGAGTTCTCCCAATGGGTCGCCTAAGGAATATGTACCCCCCATAGCTTCTCCCTGTATGAGGATTTCATGAGCAGATCAGGACCCTTAAAAAATGTACAAATAAAATCCCACCCCCACTCAACAAGAGAAAGAAAAGCCAATGAAAGCCAGATAAGCTTTTGATTTTTATATTGCTTGTATGCCCTCAATAAACAAATTTCTTTTTTAGTTCCTAAAAACCCCACAAATGATGCTGGGTAAACTGGAAATCCACATGCATAAGAATGAAGTTAGACCTGTATCTTACATCACATACAAAAATAAATTCTACCTCTCCCTCTCAGCAACCTGAGGTGACCTCTGAAAATGGTTCACTATTCACTTGACCCAGCAAACCCCTTAAAATCATGCAAATTGAGATGTTCAAATCTTCATGTTCACTTTAAGAACACTCATGAAACTGCCCAGGCCATCCAGGGTATGCATATCTGAAAAGCCACCAAGTATCTGAGGATGCCACTTTACAGAAGCAGGTTTAGATACCCTTGTTTCTATCGATGCCTATCCCATGATCTGAACATTTGGTGGAGTTGGTAGGTGTGCCCGGGCCAAACAGTGGGGCTGGACACAGGGTCACTGGCCCAAAATGAATGCTGAATTTTTGCTGCACATGCTTAAAAATACAGAGAGTAATGCTGACCTTAAGGGTTTAGATGTAGACTCTCTGGCCATTGAGCACATCCGGGTGAACTAAACTTCCAAGATGTGGCACAGAACTTACACAGCTCACGGGCACACTAGATGATCCTTCCTAAAAAAGAGCAGATGGTTCCAAAACCAGAAGAAGTGGTTGCACAGAAAAAAAGGTTTTCCTGAAGAAACAAAAATTTGTGGCCAGGGAGTAAATTCAGCATAAAATAAATGCTAATAAAAGTAAAATAAATAAATTCAAGACAGATTTAACATTTAAACTTAAGACCCCAAAATCTAAAACTCATAAAAGAAAACATAGGGGAAAACTTCATGATATTGGATTTGGCAATGATTTCTTGGACATGACACCAAAAAACATGAACAACAAAAGCAAAACTATACAAATAGGACTACATCAAACTAGAAAACTTAAAAGGTAACCTATGGAATAGAAAAAAATTTGCAATTGCATCTCTGATAAGGGGTTAATATCCAGAATATATAAAGAACTACAACTCAACAACAAAAAAATCAAATAGCCCAATTAAAAATGGTTAGGGAACTTGAATAGATACTTCCCCAAAGATCATATCCAAATGGCCAACAAGCATATGAAAAGATGTTCAACATCACTAATCATCAGAGAAATGCAAATCAAAACCACAATAAGATATCACCTCATACCCATTAGGAAGGCTGCTATCAAAACAAAACAAAAAAATAGAAAATAGCAAGTGTTGGCGAGAATGTGGAGAAATTGCAACCCTTGTGCACTTTTGTTGAAATGCAAAATGGCGCTGCCATAACAGAAAACAGAATGGAAATTCCTCAAAACTACAAATACCAAAGGAACCAGCAACCCCGCTTCTGGATATGTATCCAAAATAATTGAAAGCAGAGTCCTGATGAGGTATTTGCACACCCATTTTCATAACAGCACTATTAGCAACAGCCAAGAGATAGAAGCAACCCAAAAATATGATACTATATACATACAATGGAATATTATTCAGCCTTTAAAGGGAAGGAAATTCTGACATAAGCTACCACATAGATGAACCTTGAGGTCATTATGCTAAATGAAATAAACCAGTCACAAGAGAACAAAAACTGTATGTTTCCACTTATATGAGGCATCTAAAGTCAAATTCATAGAAACAAAGAGTAGAATGGTGGTTACAAGAGGCTGGAAGGAGGGGGGAAGGGGGAATTTTTTATGGTTACCGAGTGTCAGTATTACAAGATTAAAAAGTTCTAGAGATCTGTTTCACTACTGAACTGTACACTTAAAAAGGTAAATTTTAGCATATGTTTTTTACCATAATAAAAAAAGGAAAAAAACTATGACTAATATCTGTTGTAAACATAGATGCAAAAATCCGTAACAAAATATTAGCAAACTGAGTATATGCAATAATGTATAAAAAGGATTTTTTAGAAAGGAAATAAATGGACTTTTGACAGATGGTAATTGACACACACCTCTATTAGGGGCTCCACAAGAAAAAGAATCCCTCAAGTACAAGAGAGGGAATGGTGCCCCAGGTGGGGCAGTGCAGGGACCCCAGAGAATACCACAGAGGGACAGNCAAGAGAGGGAATGGTGCCCCAGGTGGGGCAGTGCAGGGACCCCAGAGAATACCACACTCCGCCAGGCAACAGGAACACTCCAGACACCATTCTCCAAAGGCAAAGGCTCAGACCATGGGATAGGCATTGACAGAAACAAGGGAGATCTAAACCTGAAAGACTCCAGAACTAAGGAAAAGCAAGGAGGTTAAACAGGGGAGGCTCTGAGGTTTCTAAGAAATAACACTGGTGCAGCTGAGGGCTATGTGCTCCTTTAAGGTCTCACAGTCCATTGCCAACCACAGTTCTCTATGTGTAAGAGAAATAACAAATTTTCTAGCCTTCGATTTCTTCAGCTGTGAAATAGGTGATTAATTCCTGCAAGTTCTGATAGTCAAAGAAGTCTGAAATACATATTCCACACCCTCTAAATCGCTGAGTCTTCACTTCTCTCTTCGTCCCCAAATACTCAACCCATGACAAAAGAGAATCAGTTATGTCTTTACTGCAATACATTCCATTCATCCATTTCTAACATACCTGGCGTGGAAGCTTATTTAGTGACCTCAGATAGTCTTTGTCCAGAATACAATTTCCAAGTGCATTCCCAAAGCTTCTAAGGGTAAGAAATAAAAAGGGAAACAGGGTTGAGAACTGTTATATGTAAATATCAGAGAATAGAGTTACAACTCTGTGCAAGCTGCTTCTCAAGGGCAGCAGAGAAAATGGGCCCTAATATGCCTTTAAAAGTGGTTATTGAGCATCTGCCATGTCCCTGCACAGTGTTATGTTGTGAAACTACAGCAGTGGCCATAACAGTCACTAATCCCTGTCCTCAATGAGGCAATGAATATGAAGACTCAGAAACCATTCACAAAACCCCACTAGCTACCTCCTGACATGGATGCAAATTTCAGAGCAGAGATCTCCGCCCCCCGTCCCCATCCCCCTGGACTGCTCCCATTCCCCAATAATGGGCCACACACACAGGGGCTCAATCCTCCATAACTAAAGGTCTTTACTTGGGATATACCCACTCCCTTACAGGCCATGGTACTGCAAATTTTTAGTGCATGTTTATACATGTACTTTTCTGATGATCCAATTCACTTCAAATCTCAAAGGCATCTATGACCCAGAAAGGTTAATAACCCTGCTCTCCATAACTAAGTTAAATGACATATACACAATGAAGGAGTGTTTAGCTGTGTTAAAGAGAATGAAGACGCTATCTGTGTACTCATGTGGAAAGGTCCCCAAATACATTACTGGGTAGAGAAGCGAGTGCAAGACCAAGCACAGAACAGAGAACACAGTAATCTACCACTTATTCCCCAAGGCGGAGACTTAAGCATAAAGCAGCACTAGGAAAATAGGAGAGAGAGTAGGAAAGCAAGACAGACAGGGAGTGAGACTTAAGTATTTTGATTTTTGGACAATGTGAATATATTGCCTTTTCCCCAAAAAATCAAAACTGCTTTGAAACAGGCACTGAAATGAAGCGGATTAGGCTCCAACCCTTTTGGCTTACCTCAGCGCTCGCTTCAGCCCATCTGTCACTGCCTCCTTCCTTGCCTTCTCCAAAGACAAGGCTTTGGACTTGAGGCCCTCACTAACACCATAGCCCACATCTTCATGATACGAACCATCCTGGAGGCAGAAAGTTCAAAGTCTAACGTGAAAAGCTACAGCGGTATCTCTGGTTCTACAGCTCTTCTTTTCCTCAAGCAGGGTACTTACAAGCCAGGGCCCTGCTCAACAGCACATGGGCAGAGTTTAAGAGAATCAATTTCCAGTACTATTTCCTAGACCTGATCTGCTTGAAAATGCGGCTGTGGTCAAGACGATTCTCCTTTCCCACTTCCTCTTTTACATGAAAAACCACATATCCAACCCACCCCAAATCTCACTAAGGCACACTCCCCAGAGGTATAAAAACCTCTGGGACACCAAACAAAAGTACAATTTTAAATACTGTATTTAACAGACTCTAATGATTGGGCAGCAAATCCTTTCACAAGTCACGTGGCATCCACTTCTTGGCTTTCACCAACAGTGAAGGTAGAAGACTGAGTTGTTAGCATATAGAGAACTGAATATAATTTCTGATAGCACTCTGATTTTTGAAATATAACACCGAAAGCATTCAAAGTAATGAATGACACTATAGCAAAACTCTTTCTATTCCCAGTTTATTTATGTGAATAAGGTTTTTCAGTACTATTTTTAAAAATAAAAGTCAGAATAGAATTAATGCTGAATGTTTTTTCTAGGAATAAGTAATATTAAATTATGGATACATAAACGAATTGGGGGGGGAAAAACAGCTTCATCCATGTCATTAAGAAATGCATTTTCCATAAAATTTTATTTTTATTAATTATAAAAATTCTGAAGGCATTATGTTGTCTCTTCACATAAAAACAATTGACTGATCAATTGTATGCTAATACTACCTGTACCAATAGCTCAATCCAGAAGAAATTTTTTATTATTTAGAGCCTTCAGATCAACGGAAATTTACCAAAAAAATTTTAATTTTATGCACACACACACAGAGAGAGACAGAGAAGTATGATAAAGTTATTATTTAAAAAATGTTTCAATGATAAATATACATTAGGATAAAAGCCAGTGGAGAAATAGAATGGAAATATGAGTTCAAGAAGAAATAATGTAAAATTGATTAAATAATAACTTGCTTAAAAGTAAAAGAATAGCTTGCTCATGTATTTTTTTAAATGGATGACAGTGCTTAATCTTCTATAATATTCAGAATCATTTGGTACATTATAAAAAGATATAACAGACTTATTTTAGAATGTCAAATTTTACAATATGCCTAAAAATAAACTCTAGCAACTATTTATATCTATGGTGAAAACTTTTAAGTGTCAACTTAAAAATGTTCAGAGACATTTTTTCAAAATTCTTTTAGGGGCCACATGGGGAAAAATGTTTGAACACCACCATCCTCAGGAACACTGGCTGAGACCCAGCCCCGGGGCCCATTCTGCAGCCGGGCTGGGCCACAGCCCAGAGCCCCTGCACCTGCTCATTCTCTCTACCCGCCCCCCCAGCCTTGGAGGCAGCAAGTCTATTTCCTCACCCTCACCTTCAACTGGACTCGCACAAATGCACAGACTCCCACGTAGAACTTGCCGTTGTTAAAGTCAACAAAATCTAGGAGTGGGAAAGAAAACCAGGAGAAGATACGGATCCCTGTGCTTCACACAGATTCTCCCTGCTGGCGACCAAATACACCTACCCAGCATCCTCACCCACAAAATACTCTAATCAGAAATTAGATGACGCCAAGTAAGGGAAATGAAGAGGCCGCCACTGCTTACCCACATTCTGCTGTGTGATAGAATGTGCCCAGCCATTGTAACCAAACATCTCATTGGCCAGATTAATTACCCTGTGACCTTCAATGTAACACACCTGGAAAAAAATTAAAGAAAAAAAAGCGCTTGTTAAAATTTCTTACCGTACTTATATGTAGATCAAAATTTACTTCATTTACTCCTTACCAGGCTTTTCTGGCAAAACTGCCCTTAAAAGTTCCAGGTAAATTTTAAGTGAACTTATTTCAAAGTTCCTTTGTGAAGGAGCCAGTTAGAATGAATGCTCTGTCTGGAGGGATTAGACTCAAGGGTAAATATATTCATTTGCCTAGCAGTTTCCAAAACTCAGTTTCCAAAAAAGTACACATCTCAGGCTGACATGTTACAGAAGACCAAAAACATACAGAGTGGTTAAAATTAGGAACAAATGGCAAGAGACATATTTTTAAAGGATTGCGTAAAAATCCTATGATAACAGGTATATCAGTCTCAAGATAATTCTTGGGTGACTTCTGATGACAATGAAGGCCAGAAGCTATCCCCTCCCGAAAATACCAGGAAACATCGCTAACAGTGAACAAGAGACATTCTGAACCATGAGGACCCAGAGTGGGAGTTGGCACGATCATCTGAGAAGTCAGCCATATGGGCACCCACTGGTTCAGTTATAGAACTCTCCTACCTTCTGGCCTCCCCCAGCCATGCGGCTACTTATGTATTCTGGGCCCAGCCTCTGCCTCAGAGCAATCTGGATGGCCTGGTACTCCTCTGCTGTGTACTGGTACTACAATCCAGAAAGAAAATTAAATTCACATTTTCAACAGTCTTTACGTCAGCAAGTCTCCAACTTTTTGGTCTCCACACTCTTTTACACTCTTAAAAAGTATTGTAGACCCTAAGAGCTTTTGTTTATGTGAGCTTTATCTACCAATATGAGGAATTAAAACTGAGAGGCTTTAAAAATACACATTCCACTAGCCATCAGAGCAATGATATCACTATATGCTATGCAGTCTCCGGAAAACACTGTCACTCATGAGAGAATGAGAGTGAAAAAAGCAAGTAGTAGTTTAGTATTATTATGAAAATAATTTTGACCTCACGGACTTTGAAAAGGTCTCGTGGATCCCCAGGGGTCACTGAACCACATTTTGAGAACCACTACCTTTGATGTTACTACCATCCCTACAAAACTTCCTCAAGCCAGAATTGGAAACTAAAAATTCCCACTTCTGAGTCTACATATGACATTTACGCAGGCAAAGGAGAAGAGGAGAGAAAACATGACAGGGAGTCTTCCTTCCACTGTCTTTTCCAAAGTTGTGTGCCTCTTCTTCAATTGAGCAATATCCCATCCTACACAGATAAATAGTTGTTTGGATTTTTGTCCCCTTGGTTGTTTCCCCTTTGCCCCATTCAGATGAAATAAATACAAACAGATCTCTGGTAAAGATACAGAATTTGGGTGGACAAGGCAAGAATCTCTTTTACATGCACAGGATATCTCTACATACAATGACACCAGAAACTTTGGATGCCTCCAAAAAAGAGAAATGGGTGAAACGTGGGCAGGCGTGGTAGGGAAATAGCAAAACTGTTCACATATAATCATTTCATTTTGAATGTTATATCATATGAATATATAATCTATTCAAAAACTAAATAAAATTTAAAGCTAAACATAATCCCCAGAACTATTATTAGTCTTTTGATGCTAAAGTTCCAAAATGCCCTGAGTTCATCAAAGGCTCCCATATAATGCATCTAAAGGAAAAACTAATAATGATAAATAGCTTCTACACATGTACCTGATGGTGCTCTACAAACTGCTTCTTCATGCCTTTTTCACTTAACCTCACTCTTTGCAGGTGTGAAGAACCCAAACCGTTACCTGTCCAAAGCATAATACAGAGTTGCCACCAGCAGAAGGATGGCTGTCACGGCCTCCAAGAATTGCTTCCTCAGTCCCAGACATGTCGATTCTAGTGGACCTCTATATAAACAGAAGATTTAAAAAAAAAATCTCAAAGAATGCTACAGTCAAAAGGCAAGAATCCTACTAAAAATCAGATAAAACATCCACAGGCAATAACCTACAAGTTCCCTTTATTTACATACTTCTAAACACTGCCCCAATCAAGGACTAAGTTCCTCAGTGCTTAGCTCTACTCTCACATCCCCTGAAAATCCCTTAGGGGCTCTTCTACTTTCCTGCTAAATTTTTGCTAAGATGATAGTGCTACTAAAGCTGATTTTTATAATAAGAGTGTATTATAATTACATATTACAATTATAATGTTTATAAATGAAAAAGTAAAAATTACAAAAACACTCTAAGGGAGAGCAGTCAACTTATTGCTACCTGCTACGTGTGTAACATGACCCTGGCCACAGTAACTGAACTGTTTGCCAGGAGCTAACAAGCTAGCTGGCGGGAGAAGGCTAATAGACATGAAACAATTAAAGAGCAAGAGAAGGTAACACAGAAGACTCCTAGAGCATTAGCCCAGTTTGGTCCCGTGCAGCATCAGCTTCACCTGGAACTTGTTAGAAATGTGAAATCTCAGGCCCCATGCCAGACCTACTGAATCAGAAAGTAGATGTGAGGCCCAGGAATTAGTGCTTTTACCAAGCCTAACAGGTGATTTTGATGCAAGCTCAAGTTTGAGAGACAGTAGATTAGACTGAGGCTGTGCAAATTTATAATCCACTCAAAAATAGAATTACTCTCAGAAAAGCACCTGCAACTGGCTGACCCACTTACTTACCTATTCCCACACCTGTCTCAAATCAGATTCAAAGTTGCTGCCTCAGCAAATTGATGTTATAAATCTTCAGATTTGCTAACAGAACTACAAATCTATCAATGTAAAAAAGTAATGATTCTGCACATGGCATTTTAATATGTTTAAGAGCTCAAGTTCTAAATGTCAGTTTCTGCCTCTATCAACCACTAGGTGCTTGATCAAGGAGGAAAAAAAATCACATAATCTCTCTAAATGTTTTCTTTTTCCTTTTTTTAAAAATATATCTTTATTGATTTCAGAGAGAGGAAAGGAGAGGGAGAGCTAGAAACATCGATGATGAGAGAGTCATTGATCGGCTGCAGCCCGCAACCCAGGCATGTGCCCTGACCGGGAATCGAACCCTGATCGCCTGGATCCTAGGTCGACGCTTAACCGCTGAGCCACGCCCGGCAGGGCATAAATGTTGTTTTCTCATGTAGAAAATAGAGATAATAATAGGACTGTAAAGATTCATTTAATCTTTATTTACTGCATTAAACTGCATTAGAATAGTGCCTAGCACATATAAAGTACTATATAAATGTTATTGCTAAATTCATGTTAATTTTCTTATGTACATTATGAAGAAACTGCAGACAACTAAATGATCATAAAACATTTTATTTCAGCCAAGAATAAGTTTATTTATAAGATAGCACTAAAAAGTAGGATAGTGGCCTAAACTAGGTTAATAATTAGAATCTAAAATTGATACATCAAGAAATAATGGAATAAGGATATTATTTAGAATGTAACTGTAAAGGCCAGAAAAAATAGTTAAAAGAATGCAACATATTTGTCTGAGGAGTGGTGACGGGGAGTAGAGTACAGCAGGAAACTCCTTTTACAAAATAAAGCTTTTAGCACTATTTGATTTTCAAACATGTGCATGTATTATTTTAATAAAAACAAAAATTAAAAATGTAAATACCTATTCTATAAAGCAGGAGTCAGCAAACTTTTTCTGTAAAGGGCCAACCAGTAAATATTTTAGGTATTGCAGGCTACCTGGTCTGTCACAACTACTCGACTTTGGCATTTTAGCATGAGTGTCGTCACAGACAATATGTAAAGATTGGGCATGGTTGTGTCTCAATAAAATTTTATTATAAAAAGAGGTGGCAGATTTGATCCACGGGCCATGGTGTGCCAACCCCTGCTATAAAGCATGCTTTGAACGTTCCAGTCAGATGTGGTTCAATATCCAGTTCTATCAAGTTACTTAAATTGGATAATTACTTAACCTCTCCGTGCCTAAATTTCCTCACTTGTGAGTATGAATAAAATCAACTTCATAAGTTCATCATATTAAAATGATGTGGTAACAGCAACATCCAGCAAGACTTGTCATTAGATGCTAAAAGTTGTGGGGGAACAGGATATTCGCAAAGTCCCAAATGAGCACCTGATTGTTAAAACAAACGCGTATATACATTGTGAATGGGCTTAATGCCGCTGAATTGCATGCTTAAAAATGGTTAAATAAATTTTATGTACATTTTACCACTAAAAAATAGCTTAATACAATAAAGGTTTATATCTCAACCCATACAAGATCTAACGCAGTCTGGTGGCCTTATCTATGTTGTAGTTGTGTCACGTAGCACATGCAACCTCCTAGGTCATAGTGGAAGGGGCAGAGAGAGTTGAAGGAGTCACACCAGGTCATAGCTGCCATAGGACAGAAGTGGACAGAACTTGTTGCATCGCCCCAACTTAATTGCAATGGAGGCTGGGAAATGTAAGAAAGCATTTGAACATTTAGCGAGTACTGTCTCTGCCACATACATTTTTGCCTGACTCCAGTGTGAGCTCCCAGAAGGTGGAGGATTCCTCTTGATTCATTTTGGCACCCCCAGTGACTAGCACAGTACCTTACTTATAGTAGGGGGGTAGTAATTAAATGAATAGATGAGGGAATGAGTGAAATTAGACAAAGTATTTTTTTAATTCTTTAGAAACTAATTAGGAAAGAGTTACGCTTCTCACATTTAAAAAGCAACTTGTTGCTACTTCTCTAAACAGTATCGTAAGATTCAACCTTTTGTTGGACAATCCTTATCTCTGCCCATAACACATGAAATCACTTTTCCTAGTTTCTGCTTTGAAAAACTGCTTACTGCTCTGCCTTCCTTTCTAAATGTTTTACAACTATTTTCCTATTATAAAATTAAAACATCTTGCTTTGGCCAGGTGGCTCAGTTGATTGGAGCATCATTCCATACACCAAAAGGCTGTGGGTTGGATTCCCGGTCAGAGCACACATCTGGGTTGTGGGTTCGATACCTAGTTGGAGTGCATACGAGAGGCAACTGATCAATGTTCCTCTCTCTGTCCCTTCCTCTCTAAAAATGAATAAAAACAATTCCCAGTCAGGGCACATTCCTAGGTTGCAGATTCAATCCCTGGTCGGGGTACACACGAAAGGCAACCAATGTTTCCTTCACGTCGATGTTTCTCTCTCTCTCCCTCTCTTCCCCTTCTTCTCTCTCTAAAAAAGAAAATCAATAAAATCATATCCTCTTGTGAGGGTTAATAATCCAAAAAATGTATACACACTTTAACAGCTGATAACTCACTTACATTTTCATTCCTTTTCAGGTTTAACTGATTTGAAATAATGCTTGAAGCCAGGCTGAGCTTTGAAGAAAGAAAATTTATCCTAAAGTGCCACTAGACTTTTTTTATGGGGATACATAAAGTTTAAGGTACAAAATCGGCAACAGTGGACGAACTGAGAGCAAATACCAAATGAAATGATTCTTGATGTTTGCAATTCCATTGCTTCACATTATCAGCAGTGCCTGGACCAGAACAGTCATCAGTTTGAAAACAGGCATTGACAAAAATTGTTCACTTCTGTGGGTTCTTTTAAATTTTGAAAATTGTATGTTAATAAACACTGACTTTATCATCTTTCAAAGAGCATATACATTTTTGGGGGACACCTTGTGTTGTGTATATATGGATGGAAATAAAATTTGGCTAGATCCTCACCAGCAAGAGATAGCTGTTATCTTTTTTAAATAAGTGTTTGTGTATGTGTTTCACATGTATGTATATTTGTTAAAAAGTAGAATCCAAATATATCAGGCATATTTTATACAGCAGCATCTCAAGTCTTCTCGGCCTCACCTGTCTGAGGTCCCTGATTACTTATTTTCATCCCAGATAATTAGGCAGGCCATGTATGTGTGGGTTCTAACCAACTGCACACAGGCACAACCAATGTTCCTTTACTTCTTGCTCATGCTGGATGCCTCTTACCTCTCACTCTTGGCTTCCCCCTTGGCTTTGAGGTGTGAGAATCTGTGGGACCCACCTAATGCCCACACATGCACAATCTGAAAATTTGAGGGAGTAAATGTACCATGGGGCAAAGCTTTTATCAATGAGATACAGAAGCTGAAGGGCAAATCTTCTTCCTTCCTTCGGGTAGATTGTCCTGGGATGCAGTACTTTACCCCTCCTCCTGGGAGACAGCTTTAGGAAATCAAGCAATCAGTTGTACTTGTTACCAAGGGGTGGCCAGCTTGGAAATGTACCCCTGAACTGACTTTTCCTTCTCTCCTCAATGCCACTTTTCCTCACTTCTGCTTCCTGGAATTGCACTTCCTGAAAACATAATAGCATGTAAGCTTTTGCCTCAAGCTCCAGATTCTGGAGTACACAGGCATAGCAGACACTATGAATGCTCTGCCAATTATCTCTTCAGCTCCTACCACAATAGGGCACCCTGGCCTAACTTCCAAATGCCAACATGTGCACCTCTTTACCTGAAGGCTTCCTTTGGCATCCAGGGCCCATTTTGTACCTGTTAATGGTAAGCTGGAAGCACCAGAGAATGGAAGCCCCTGGAAGCAGCTTCAAACATTGACTGACAGGAGTTGGTGGGTAAAGACTCTAGATTTCTTACCCATTCTGTGAGATAACAATGAGCATAGTTCTGCACTGGCTCCAGAGTTCCCCAGTGAAATCGGGTTTGGTTGCCCACCAGTGGTAACTGGCTTGACAGTGTACCTTTGTGGAATGACTTTTCCTTCCCATCTCACCTCTCTTCTCCTCTACCAGCATGTCCTGGGGTCATCTCCCAAATAAACTACTTGCACTTGGGGGAAAAATTCGGGGAGTGGGGGATAGGTGGCAAAAGATACCTTTACAATGGAGAAATCTGGCAGAAAACCACCTTAACCAAGTAATTAAACATGTCACCAATAACAGTCACACCATGTGCTTTCTTTTATTTTTTTTTAATATGTTTTTATTGATTTCAGAGAGGGAGGGAGAGGGAGAGAGAAATAGCAACATCAGTGATGAGAGAGTCATTGATCAGCTGCTTCCTGCATGCCCCCTACAGGGGATCAAGCTGGCAACCCCGGCATGTGCCCTGACTGGGAATCAAATCTCGATCTCCTAGATTATAGGTCGATGTTCAACCGCTGAGCTATGCTGGCTGGGCAGCCATGTGCTTTCTGAAAGATGCACTGTGAAGGTCACAGTATCACTTAGGTAGTATTCTACCAATCTACTCATGACTGATCATGAGGAAATAATCAGACAAGCTCAAATCTACAAGGCCTGGACTCTTCAAAAGTGTCAATGTCTCAAAAAACAAAACAAAGTAAAACAGAAAGTCTAGTAAAGTCTTCCAGATTAAAGACTAAAGAAACATGACAACTAAAATGCACTGTGTGGTCCTTGATAGGATTTTAGATCAGAAAAAAAAGCTATAAAGGACATTAGGGGAACAATGGGGAAGTCTGATGATAGACTGCATTAACAGATGCTGGTCTTTTATTATTGTTAAACCTCTTGAGTGTGATAATTATATCCTGGTTATGTAGAAGATATATGATAAAGTATTAGAAAAAAATGGCATGTTTTCTGCAACTTTCAAATCATTCAACTAATAAAATGTGACTGTGTGTGCACACGTGTGAAGAGAGGAAGAGAAAAAGATAAAACAAAGTAACAAATTTATTAATCTAGTGTATACAGGTATTTATTGTATAACTTTCCTGAAAGCTTCAAATTTTCCAAAATAAAATTTTAGGAAACACCTCCTAATAGTCAAGGTTAATGCAGCTACATAAATGCAAATATCCCAATACATCCTCCAAAAACTATTACAGACGAACAGAAGAAAAAATAAAACCACAAATATCCCGTATCTTCTAACATAATTAGAAGACTGAAACTACTACATGCCTCATCTAGCCCGGAGGTAGAAAAAGTAAACATCAATTTCTGCATCTATTACGCAATCCATCATCAGACTTCCTCACTGTCCCCATTAATGTCTTTTATAGCTTTTCTGGTGGAGAGATTTCTCTCATCCCAACTCTTTAAGGAGAGCAAGGTGGGGCACCAGATGGGAAGGAAAATGCATAGAAGAGAGAAAAGGACGATGGAGGGCCTAAATGGAACTAAAACCACTCCTGGAAAAAGAAAACCCACACTAAGTATGAAGATACTGACAAAGCTTTCTGGTAGATCAGTGTAGTCTGCCAGACTGCATGGGGCAGTAGCCTGGAAAGTCAATGTTTCTCAGGAAAAGAAGTTGAAAGGAAGGCAAGATGCCCTGTGAAACTGTTCTGTGAAGGGGAAAAAAGGGAAAATACAGGATCCTATAATGCAAGAGGAAATTTAAAAGTCGAAGGACATACAACCATCTCCCCCCAAAAGTCTTCTGATAAAAAGGCTACTCACTACACTCACAAAGCAATAGAAACTACCCTTGAACCAAGAATCTCATATGTCATCCCAACTCTCAATTCTGTTCACAAAATGCAAAATTAGACATAAAAAAGAGTCAGTGAAGACTCTAAAAATAATTAGAGAGCTTCAGAGTTCTGTGGGATAATATCAAAATGGCTAGCATGCAAACATCTGAGGTCCCAAAATAGCGGTTAAAAAGAATGGGGGGACAATATTTTTAAAAATAATGGCTTGAAATTTCCCAAGTTGGGTGACAGAAATAAATGTATACATTTACGAAGCTCGGCAAACCTCAAAGCAGAATAAATACAAAGATAATCATACCTAAACACATCATAGAAAAACTGCTAAAAAACAAAAATAAAGAGAAAATCTTCAAGGGTAATAACAAAAGCCATCTTTAAAAGTTTAGAACTTTAGTTTGTAAACGATGGGGAAGCAATGGAAATTTTAAGCTGAAAACGGTATTTATGCATTAGAAAGTTGTCAACAGTGAATAACTGAGGGAGAGATCAGTTAGGAATCTATGTTACAACTGTCCAGAAAGGAAATGATAAAGTCTCAAAGATCAAAGAAATGTAGAGAAAGGATGGACTCTGGATATGCACTACCAGAGGCAGAACTGACAGGACTCAGTGATGGGTGAAGATCAAGAACAGCAGGATTGGATAGCAAGGGTTTTCTTCATTTATGTACATGTTGCTATAATTTGTCATACAAAAAAAATTAACAAGAGTAGAAAAAAACGTTAAGTAAAAAAAAGGAACTAGATCTCAAAATGTCATCTCCTCACTACACTCTAAATAGAATTAATCCTGTGCTCCCAGAGCATTTTAGACACATGTCAGATCGCATATCACACATAATCCTAACCAGGCATTCAAGAACACAGGGGCCATATACTAACTACTGAATCTCCAGCACTTAACGTGTCCTAAGCAGCACATAGTATAAAGTGCAGTTTAGCTTTATTTTAGCTTCTCTCCACTTAAAAACTGCCTGTATGGTATTAAAAGGGAATACCCTAAGTGGAAAAAATGTTAAAAGTTACAGAGATTAAAAAATATCCACTAGCCCTGGCCCGCGTTGCTCAGTGGTTAGAGTGTTGGCACACGCAAAGAAGGGTAGAGGAGGGTTCCATTCCTGGTCAAGGGCACGTACCTGGGTTGAGATCTGCTCCCACCACCAGTTAGTCAAGGCATGTGCGGGAGGCAACCAATGGATGTGTCTCACGTTGATGTTTCTCTTTCTCTCTCTTTCTCCCTCTCTCTCCCCCCCTCCCTTCTTCCCTCCCTCTCTTCCACTCTCTCTGAAAAACAATGGAAAAAATATCCTCTGGTGAGGATTAACCAAAAAAAGAAAAAAAAATCCACACTAGGCTTTCTGCCTTTGAATATTTAAATTGGTTATACAGTCAATTCTCATTATTCACGGTAGTTATGTTCTGTAAAGTCACCATGAACGTTGAATTATCAAATATTGAAGCTTTGCTCCTAGGAGAAATACAGGGTTAGGCTCCTGCAAGCCTCTGGAGACATTTTCACCAACCAGTCAATACATAACCTTGTTCTATGTATGTTTCTGTTTAAAGACACCTTTATACATTATTGATTCATTAACAGTGAATTCATTGCTGAACAAAGTTTATCTAAAAGAAGCTTGTCTTTGTAAGGCACATCACAGCCTTCTTGCATTTAAACAAGGCAGCACTTTAGCAATATGCTTGGAGGCCTTTCCACACAGTGAAATCACCAACAAAAAGCACAAAATGTGAAAACAACAGCAAACACTTGCCACTAAATATACCTGCAACAAGGACTCTCATTTCCAGTATGAAAGTCGAAACAAGAAGGCAGAGCATCGCCTGGTTTAACTTCAACTGGGCACATTCACATGGAGCAACTGAAATTTTTCGGAATTCTGCACATCTGCAAAAGTGCCCTGAGTATTGATTTGGGATTTAGGATTCGAAAGAAATCTTACTGAGTAGATAAATTCGTAAATACAGACTTGACAAGTAAAAGAGCAACTGTGGGTTTCTTTAAGGTAAAACCACTCTCCCACAGCTATCTGGGTTACATTTTCATATACTCATCTCCAACTACACCCAGTTCCTCCACACACAAGATAACAGGTTCTGACATACATTACACAGCAGCATTTCTGATGAGAACTGCACACAAACATTTCTCTGCTTATTACCACTACAATTAATTGTTTAACCAGTGGTAAACTGAGAACACTTTAAAAAGAAAAACTTTCCTAAACTGAGGTCACTGAAATACTTGACCCACTCCCAGAATTAAATTTAGTTTTAAAATGTTTGCACCTCAGATGCAGAGTTCAGTGCAGGAACAGACCTTAAGGTCTACGAAGCCAAAAAGTGGGGGGAACCCAAATGCCCATAAACTAATAGAGAAACAAAATGTGGTATATTCCTACACCTGGTTATTATTCATATTATTCAGCCATAGAAAGGAGTGAAGTATTGACACATGCTACAACACAGATGATCCCTGACAACATAATGCTAAGTGAAATAAACCAGACACAAAGGACAAATATTGTGACTCCACTTATGTGAAATATCTAGAACTGGCCAATTCGTAGAGACAAAAAGATTAGTGGGGCTGGGGTAGCTGGTAATGAGAAGTGCCTGCTGTTGAGCTCCAGGTTTCCTTTTAGGGTGACGAAAACGTTCTGGAATTAGACAATGGTGGTTGTATAAACTTACGAATATACTAAAAACCACTGAATTGTCCACTTTAAAAGGATACATTTAATCGTAGATGAGTTGTATCTCAATTTTTAAAAAACAGGCCTAAAGGGCTGAATACATGGCTAAACTGAGCGTCAAATTCTTTCCAAGCCGCAGCCACTCCTTTCAACTCCGCCCGGCCATTGACACAAACTTCAGCACCCCTCACTCCGGCTAACAAGCAGCATTTAGCGGCCTGGC